TCGTGGGCAGGAATAGCCGCCAGAGAGCCGATTTTGCCCCCAATCGTCGCTGAAAGTCCAATATCTTGGAGAATCTGACCTGTCTCAAGGCTCATGTAGCTCCACAGGGTGATTCTCCTCGAAAAATGCTGCGAGCTGAGGCGTAAAATCAAGGGCCCGGAGGGTCTGACCACGAGTCTCTGGGGGGTCCTCGGCCATGACCCCCCCCCCTAGCATGTGGTGAAGGTGCTGGGGGGGGCGGGACCCCCCCCCTAGCATGTGGTGAAGCCTCTGGGAGAGGGGGCCTCGCACGGGAGCCGGAACCCTGGCGCCGGCGACGGCCTACCGAGCCTGTGGAGGTGCCTCTGCGCTTGATCCAGAGCCTGTGGACCACAGCAAAATCCAATCCACCCTTTGGTGAGAGAGATGGCGGACCTCCATGTCGGCAACATCGCGTGCTGCCTCTGCGGCGTCCCCACCTCGGCGAGCACCGCCTACGAGGGCATGTGTGCAACCTGCACGGGCTCTCAGGTCGACATCACCAGCGGCATTGAGCGAAGTGTTGAGATTGAGATGTGCAAGGGGTGCGAGCGCTGGTTCAGGAACCCGGGCTGGGCGGTGGCGCAGCTCGAGTCGGCCGAGCTCCTCACGCTCTGCCTGCGCAAGCTGCGCGGGCTCAAGCACGTGCGCCTCGTCGATGCGGCCTGGATCTGGACGGAGCACCACTCGCGCCGGCTCAGAGTCAAGCTGACTGTCGCGCGGGACCTCGTCGGCGCGTCGGGCTCAACGTACGTGACCTGCCTGCAGCAGTCGCTCGTGGTCGAATACGTCGTCCGGACACGGAACTGCGACGCGTGCAACAAGGTCGCGGCAAAGGACACGTGGCAAGCAAAGGTGCAGGTGAGGCAAAAGACGGAGCACCCGCGCACGCTGCTCGCCCTCGAGCAGCACATGCTGAAGCACCAGAAGTCGCGCGTCGCCCTGCGCGAGGTGAAGCGGGTGGGGGACGGCCTCGACTTCATCTTTGGCCGCCGGCAGGACGCTCACCGCTTTGCGCTCGGCGTCTGCGCGCTCGCGCCGTGCAAGTGCAAGGCGTCGTCGTCGCTCGTGTCGGCCAATGCCAAGACGGGCACGTCCAACGTGCGGCACGTCTGGGCGGTCGAGATCGCGCCCCTCTGCCGCGACGACCTCGTCCTCCTCCCGAAGGGTGTCGCCCCGTCGCTACCGCCGCTCGTTCTCGTCTCTCGGATCGGCGCCTCGCCTCCCCATATCTCCCCATATCTCCCCCATATCTCCCGCTCACGCTCGTCTCTCGGATCGGCGCCTCGCCTCCCCATATCTCCCCATATCTCCCCCATATCTCCCGCTCGCGCTCGTCTCTCGGATCGGCGCCTCGCCTCCCCATATCTCCCCATATCTCCCCCATATCTCCCGCTCGCGCTCGTCTCTCGGATCGGCGCCTCGCCTCGCCTCGCCTCGCACCCCCCCCCCCCCCCGTGCAAGAGCTGCGGGCTGCTCCCCCCTCACCGATCACAGCTGCGGACAGGAGCCTCGCTCCACCTGGTCGACCCCGCCTCGGGCGCCGCCGCCGAGGTGACGGCTGAGCAGTACTGGGGCAACCCCTTCCCGCCCCTCGGCACCAAGGGGCATCTCATCAACTTTGTGGTGCTCGATTGCCAACTCCAAAAAACCGGGGTTGCCCAGAAGCCCGGTTGGCGTACTTTTTTGGGAGGGGGCGCAAAAGACCTCCTTTTATTTGTGAAAAACCTCCGTGATAAGTAAAAAGGCGCCAAACAAAACCCGTGGGGTGTGGCAAGTGGGGAAAAAAAAAAAACAAAAAGTGTAGGAAAAAAAAAGGCTTTTTTTAAAGTGGAAAAGAAGAAAATCCCACATTCTAAAACCCCCCCC